TGTGTGTGTGTGTGTGTATGTGTGTGTGTGTTTCCTGACAAACATTAGGCTTTTTTCCTAACTGCTTCTGTGGATGTATTGCAAAGCTGTATTTATCAACCTGTCTCATAGTTGTTGAAGGGATTAGTAGAGTGGATATTCTATACTGCAAACAGACTTTAAAAGGACAATTTCCATATCATGATGAAGAAGTTGCTTAAGCTTTTAATATACCACAGAGTAGTTTTAAGGGCTTAATTTATTCTGATGCTTGACATAAACTAAAGAAGCTTATCTAAACTGGCATTTTGTAGAATTTTACTCTCTCATTTCTAGCGAGATGAACTAAATGCTTCATTTGTTTTTGCAAATATCACATTCTGTTTGATTTATGAAAAAAGTAATTATGAAGTTTATGAGCCTATTAAAAGATACCTGAAAGAGAAATGAATGTTGCCAATTATTGAGAAGATTGAATAAACATAAGTTGGGTTAGTTTTACTTGCAGTACTGTAATAGTTATTTTAAATGTGCTTATGTATCAATCCCTATTTAGTATAACTGTTTTATACATATGCATTCTCATTTACATAGCTACCCACAGTTTTTTTAAGTGTGGAGAGTTAGAATATCAATTGGAGTTTCATACAACTATGAATTGAATTTTCTATTGAATGTTTTTACAGCAACTTTGGTAATTCAGCAGGGAAGCCATTTTATAAGCTAAACAACAATTTGCTTGTTTGATAGTGTAGATTCCTATAGCAATTACACATTTCTTGCTGTGTTTGCAGTTGCTGTGGCCCACTTCTATCATGAACTTCATCTGAATGAATGAATATGATGGAAATCTGATCATAATCATGTATGTTGCATAGAGCAATCTTCATGAGCTGATGTCTTCCATATATTAAGGATGATATCACTCCTGATTATTGGCCAAGCTGCCTTGAGCTTTTAGGCGTTGTAAACATGAACATCTGGAATACACCAAATTGAATCCCCAAAATAGAACTCTTTAAACTGAACAGACATCTATGCCCTTGTGAAGTAAGCAGCATTATACAAAGTACAAACAAGAATGAACAAATAGCAAGAAAAAGACATTTAATGACACCTGGTAATAAAGAAAAAAAAACATAGATAAATCTCTCAGCCCAACTCACCTCACAGGGTTGTTGTTGTGGAGGAAATAGGAGGCAGGAGTATTAGGTA